TATTTATTGTGTGTGACAAACCCAAACTTGCCTGCCTTGGAGAAAAGTGATCCCTGTTGCCATGTGGTAGAGCTTTTCCACCACTCCGTGATGTTTTTTTGTCTCTTGAACATGTTCTCCAAGCACAGCAGAATTGTTTGACTTGATTCATGAATTAACTGAGGGAAAGCCAGTGATTTCTGCTACGCAGATCATCGCAGTGGTTGTAAAATCACTGGGAATAGCCACACTGTGCAGGCATGACACACTGCAGAGATCCTTCAGTCAGAGCCAAGTCATGACCATAACCCATCGAGGAACAGTGCCATGTGGACTCGGTAGCACAGACCTGAAAGGTGCCCAGCTCCATTTGTATGGCCATAGGTCTGAGGGAGGAAACTCAGCACAGAAGTTATGTGCAGTCAGTTTGGCTTCCAGCTCCCAGGCTGGACCTGCCATGTATTTGCATGTGGAGTTATGGGCAAGTATATTTTTAATATGCTCTGAACAAGCTGTGGTTCTAGTTCCTGAGGCTCTCTGCAGATAATCCCACCATATCCAGTCATTTCTATAGTAGCTCCTGAGGTCTGTGCATAGGTAGCCAGCCTGCTCAGTTCTCCGCGTAGCACCTGGTCTGCCTGGAGAAAGGATGTAAACACCTCTTGCCTTCAGCAAGTAGGAAATGTCCCAAAGCATCTATTTTTAGCAGAGTGAAGTTGAGTTGCCATGTTACAGTCGAAACAAAGAGTAATTAGCAATTCATTGAAAAGATACAAGAAAAGAAATCATACAAAGGGGAGTCCTTGTCGCTATCTCACTTTCCTGATTCTTATCTTTCACTTCCTATTTCTGGCTTTTCATTTTGGACTTTGCAGCTCAGCTTCCTTTCGGTGTTTCCCTTTGAATCTTTGCTTCTCATATAGCATTGTGCTTATGGCTTTTTGTAAAGGAAGCCTGGGAAAAGGTCGGATCGTTCAGGAATGTACAGTAACATATTTTTAGTTTAGGGACTGCCTTTTGGAAATGAGCAACAAGGGTCATGCATTAAACCTTTTTCTATGTTTAAAGATATATTAATGCTTCCTGCTTATCCTGACTTTACATGTTCAAAAGACTAGATAATGACAGTGGTCATAATGCTTAAGTTCAGAAGAATTGAAGTGAATGATACTCACTCTATCTAAAGAGTAAAATGAGCAAAGCCTTAGAGTATTGGCCTAATGAATAGACTGCTCCCGTGTATCAGCACAGATTAATCATGTATCATGAGGTATATCATTTCGTGGTGATCTTTAACAGGTGGGATCAAACTTTTCAGAGGGCATAAATACAACCTCAAGACCCCCACACAAGCTGCTTTTGCTTGAGAAATGGATTATTTGCAAAAGAACTAGAAAATTTGTGCTCTGAAGTATTCAGCTGGAAACACAGTTCACAGCTCACTGGTGCTAAAGCAGTGATTGCTCATGTAAAGCATTGAACCTAAGGGTTGAAACCTTTTCTGCTTCTAGAAGGAATGCCGAACATTATATATGGTGATGTAATTATGATGTAAACTGGCACCAAGACAATTTATACTGTAAATTTGGAAAAAAAATAATGAGCACTGATCTGATCTGATCCAGAAAATCTTCCACACTTAGAGTACATTTACACCACAACTTAAATAATGGTGCCAAATTTTCTGCTGTTGATAGCTGAGGAAGCTTCATTAATTCTTGTTGCACCAATTTTCGAGAGAGAGCTTAGTTCAGGGCTTTACAGGATCAAGCTGTTCATTGGAAAAAAAAGCTTAATGGATTCAACAGGTGAAACAACAAAGAAACATTAAAACCAGAGGGAGTGACATTGGATTTATTTCACTACTTAATCAGTGGACACTGTGGAAGATCATAGTATCATTATTTCCTTCATGATACTCATGTATAAGCCAGACCTCTATCTGTTCATATTGTTTTCTTCCATTACATGTATTTTTTGATCCATTGTAATAATTTACTTTGGCTTCTAGCTCCAAGCACAGAATACAGTTTCCATCTTGTTCAAAATAATATTGGCTAGTTGCTAGGGGAGTGTGCTGATTTCTTTTACGATTTCTTTTCCTCACCACATCTGTGTGTAATTTTTTTATTTATCATCTCCCTAGGACATTTTCCCTGTGAAAAACCCAAATGTGAAATGCAGCCCTTTCAGATCTTGTTTGGTGTTTTATACAAGGAGCATTTCCTAAATATATTTACAGAACAGGATTTTACCAGCTGGTGTTTACTACCAGGCATAAACACCTAAATGCATGTGTGGATGGGCCTGCACACTCTTCTGTTACCTCCTTTGAGTGAGCAAGCAGGTATGAATTTAAGGGCAGGTGTGAATTAACTTAAGGGAGGGACTTAAGGGAAAGCCTTTCTGCTCCTTACTGCTGCAGACCTGTGAAGTGTTATGCACTAAGTATGCAACCTGCTTCTTTGGGCTATTTCACGCTTGCGAGCAGATTTGGCCGGGGGGACTTAAATGGTTACTCCCTTAGCTGTGCTCCCTGGCCCTCTGATCAAACTTAGCCTCTCTCTCCCACTGAGGGACTGCCCAGTGGGATTTACATAGGCTCCTCAGCCCCACATGTTAGAGCCTGACCTATTAATATAAACCAATGTCAATTTTAGTTGATGCTAATGCCAGCAGAAATGGGCAGTGGTTTACACTACTCTGCTGACCTGTGAACTACGGGGGAGATGTTGGGTTGTTTGTTTTTTTTTTAAACAGGCTTTTGTCATATTGTAGTTGTGATGGGGTCAGGGATAGCACATCCATTTCTAATTTATCTGCTCATTATAACCTTGCACTTTTGTTCCTCCTCGGTTCTTAGCTGCAATCTTTACTTCCCTGCTTGAAGTATTCCTTTCATTTCTCAGAGGATAGTTGCATTGGATTTTGAAGATGAAATTGTCTACTACTGCTAATTGCTGTCACCTCATGGCTACCAATAGCACTTTGTCGGTTTATACAAGACTTCAACCTAATGCTTTAATTTTCACACTTTAAATTCACTGATTGGTCCAAGGTTACATGTGAAAACAGGCATGAGCTAGTGCATGTAAACATCTGCCAGCTGGCAACTGTGAATAGAAGAACTGTATTTCGAGTAATTATATACTGCATAAGATAGATGCCTGCAAATATTTGCCTGAGTGTAGTCTCCCTTTGACACGTGTTAAAAATAATATGTCCTCTTCTCTCCTCTTCTCTCTCCTCTCCTCTCCTCTCCTCTCTCCTCTCCTCTCCTCTCCTCCCTTCCCTTCCCTTCCCTTCCCTTCCCTTCCCTTCCCTTCCCTTCCCTTCCCTTCCCTTCCCTTCCCTTCCCTTCCCTTCCCTTCCCTTCCCTTCCCTTCCCTTCCCTTCCCTTCCCTTCCCTTCCCTTCCCTTCCCTTCCCTTCCCTTCCCTTCCCTTCCCTTCCCTTCCCTTCTTTCTCTTTCTCTGCAATGCTGTGCTATGCTATGCTATGCTGTCCAGGTTCTTATACCCACAAATACCAGAAGTATATGAACAACCTACCCAAATGCAACAAACAGTATGTTGGTTTTCTCATCTTCTTCACAAGAGAGGAGAGTTAAGCATTTTGTTTTGGATCTATCAATTCACATTAGTATTCATGAAGAAAAGGCTCTCCTGCTCTCCTGTATTTCCCGCATAGCCCTTAATTTTATTTGGCAGCCTACTGGCAGTGTCCTCAGCCCACTTGAGACACAGGATTCCCAAATGGCAAGCTGGTCACATACAAGTTTAGATTGATTTGGTTCCCACTAACTTCAGTGGCAGCAACTTTTGGCATTCAGAGATTTATTTATGGCTAGTTTTATTCCTTTTTTCCTTTCCTGTAGATCTTTCTTTAGAGCAGAAATTTCCATCTTTCTGGTGGCTCATCTGTTTCACGGAACTCTTCAGTTGTTTGCTGTTTCTTGTCAAGGCTCTGGCAGCGTGAATAAAGTCTAAGAGGGGGGACAGAGGAAATTGAGACTTATTTTCTGTTTATTTACACTGATTTCATTGAAAAGCAACATCAGGGTATCCCATAGAGTTTGATCAGGACAGAATTGGTGCAAAGGGGGGGACAATCAGCCTCCCCCAGATCCACATTAAGGTTGTGCAGATGGTGCTCGTGATGGATGGGGATTTCCCCCTTTGGTTGTGATGTCGGGGCAGCTCATTGATCATTCTCCTGAACTTCCTGTGGAAGATCCCACAAAATGCTGGCTTCTGTCTGACCTGTTTTTGTTCTATCAGTAATCTGAGTGAAATGTTTAATTCATCTCCACCTAAATACTGATTAAAAAGTACCATTTCAATGCAGGCACAAAAAACACTATTGAAATATCTGAGCTTGGCTGTTAAATGTCATGATCTCACTTTGTTCCTTAAAGTAACTGTCTACGTCCCCTTGAAGGGGAAGGCAAAGATTTATTCTTTTAAAGATTATTCTTTCAGCAGTGAGATGATTCAGTGTGATTTTCTTCTGGCCGCATGAGCTGTGTTAGCAAGGCAGAGCTGTTCTGTCAGCAGTGTGCCCAGTGTCAGAGCAATCCCTGTCCTGCAGGAAGGTATGCAACCTACTTGGGATTGTTTTGGTTTTTTTTTTTGGTTGTGTGTGTGTGGGTTTTTTTTTTTCTTTTGGCAGACGTCCTTGAGCATTTGAGACGGATGTGAGAGAGTTTTTAGTCCTCATGCAAAACAACCAACTAAACATAACAGATTACATCAGCTCAGGCTTTTCAATTCCTGGATGGCAGCAGAGTGCTAATCCAACCTTCATCCTGGATTTCATAAACTGAAACAAGGGAGGCTGGCAGGAGCAGCACTGCCGGATTGAGGAAGCTGACGACGGTGCAGCATGTGGGCAACACACTGTATAAAGCTCATAAACTTGTAGGCTGATGTGTGCAGCTACCACTTTGGATTCTGTACCGCTTCCCTCGGCACAAGGCACCAGCAGGCTGAGCATTAAAGCCTGCTCTTTGGGACGGAGCATTTATCCCTGCAAGACATGAAGGGCTTCCTGTTTCTCACACTCCTCCTGATGCCCGTGCACGCTGGAACTGCTTGGAGTGCGAAATATGCAGTAGATTGTCCCGAGCCCTGTGACAGTAACGCGTGCAAAAGTACCTTGCGCTGTAAGCGAACGGTGCTGGATGACTGTGGCTGTTGCAGAGTGTGTGCAGCTGCTCTGGGGGAGACTTGCTATCGTACGGTCTCGGGTATGGATGGTGTCAAGTGTGGTCCTGGGCTGAAGTGCCAGTTTTACACTGAGGAGGATGACTTTGGTGATGAATTTGGTATCTGCAAAGGTAACAATATTCACTTTGCATGCACCCACTGTGGCAGTTTGACAGCAACCTACATATAGAGCTTGCCTCCTGCTTGAAAGGGCTAAAATGGGATTTTTCTAGCTCAGCCTTTAGCCAAGAAGAAAGTGAAAAATACCTTCTGGTATTAAAAGGTGTTACATGTAGGCAGGACAGGGTTATTAATGTGAGAATACTGTTTAGACGTGGGGACATGTGTGAGGAAATACGGATGGGGTGTGCTCGGAGATGAGATTTTTGATTGGGACTTGGGAGACCCAGGCACTAGTCCTTCCGCTGATTTGGTGGGTGGCTTTCTATAAATTGCAAAGACTTTAATCCTGTGAGTCCAACCTTGTCACAGGGTCCCTGCCCCTGCTGGGCTCTCCCTGGGGTGAGGTTCCCTCAGGCACTGCCGACTGCCTGCCCAGGGACCAGGTGCTCTCTTTGGGGTCTGGGAGATGGAGGTAACAGCACTGCCTGGGTGCCTGGGGACATTGTCGTGTTTAATTCAGTCCTACGTTTGAGGTGCTCAGCTACCCTAGGGATGTGGTCAGGGGAGGCAAACAGAGACCCTGCCTGAAAGATGGGAATAACAGAACAGGAGCTGACTGTGAGATGAGCAGCCAGCCACTGCTCTCAGCTTATTCCAGGCATGCTGCATGCTGATTTCTTTAGTCATAGACTATAATGGCATTTTTCATTTAAGAGCTATCCTCACTCCATGCAAAAAGGAGAATGTTTAAAAGGAGAGGAGGTATTAAATTACTATGAAGTAGGATGAAAGTTTTAAAATTAATCATTTAAAAAAAAAGGCTTTGCAAAGTATGAATGCAGTGAGTTTTCCTGTGTTCATGTACCACTTCAGTAAGTAGATACAGGTATGCCTTTGAATAACTTCCTTAAAAATGGAGAAGTCTTGGCAGTTAAACATCAGGAGTATTAATAGCCTCAGTTAAAGCAATGACTTAGGACCAGATGCTGCAAAATCATTCAGGCTGACTCACATACAGTCACACTTATTTACATTGGTATTTGAAACCAAATTAATGTGCATGTTTGAGGGTGAAACCCTAAATACTACTTTTATTTCTAAAGACTAGCATTTACGCATAAAGATAACATCTTAGGTGCACCCACCAGAAAAGCATTTTACTGAGATAGTTGACTGATCTTCAGTGTATTAAAAATTACTGCAGTGCAAGATACTACCTATAATTCTTTTAACAGTTCTTTTGAATGATTATACACTTTTCACTGTCCTCATAGGATTTTCTTTGCAATAGCACATTTCAAATGGGAAAAAAGAAACATTGAGGGGCATGAGATCTGAATCCTTGTAGCTGAATCTTGGAAGCTCTGTAGAAAATGTAAAGTGTTTTTTTTTCCCAGTGCATCAGTGGAAAAACTCTCATTAATTTCAATAAAGCCGTATCTTGACTTAGAGTTGTAAATTGGTATTTAAGGCTTATATTCCTCATATATTTATTTGCACTAAATATTATAGATGTCATTTCTAGTTCTTTTTTCATCTCAGCTCTGAGATAGTACAATCTCTTTCTGTATGTATGTGAATTTTATCAGGCAAAGTATGGGGCCAAGTATTGTTATTTTATACATCCATTTATAGCTATGATACCAGATGACTCACTCATTTTAATAACTTCCATGTTTGTAATAATTCACAGAGTCAGGATGGCTAAATTCTCTCTGGTTGCCTGCGACTGGTTTACTTTTAAGTTGTGGAAAAATGACCTGAACTCTCTGTTCTTCACTTTCTTATTTCTATAATGGGTAAAACATGTACAGTATATGTTTCAGAGCAATTTTCTGAGTACTTTTAGTATTATAAAAGTGCATCATATTATTATCAGTAGCAATGTCATTATTGTTCAAAACAGACTAAGGAATACTGGTGCTCTGCACTTTTATTAGTAAATACCCTCTAAACCTGAGGTATAACTGTCACAGTAAAGAACCTGCTCTTGCTTCCCTTAGATCACTGGGAGCTATTTGCAATTTATTTAGGAGCAGGCTCCTGCTGAACAAAATCTTCTAGCAGCAAAATTGACTCAGATCTCAGTTTTGTCAAATCTGAAGAGCAGCATCAATGCCAGGATTATTCCACATGGAGCCAAGTGCTTTGGGCTCAGACTTGTTTCCATGCTGTTGTGCACAGCTCTGCATCCCACCTCTCTGGGCTGAGTGGCTGAGCACCTGCAGTGGGCAGATTGATGCCCAATGTGGTGTGTGCTCTCAGCTTGTCCCTCAGGGAGGACTGTGTGCACAAAAACTCTTTTGCTTTGGCAGGATTTTGTTTTTGTTTTATGTGGACAAACAGCAGATCCAAGAGTGTCCTTGCTTGGGAAGGGGAGTATGGTGAAGCTCAGTGAGGTCCTCTAGGCTGGAGAGATTCACTGTGCAGTCCCTAGCAGGGAATTGCTTGATTTTCCTGTGCTTTTCATTTACAAAAGCATACCCTTTGGGTATGCAGAGAATTGTAAACTGTTGGTTTCATTTTGGGTCATTAGTCTGACTTTCAGATAGCCTATGCTGTACGGCGAAACTAAATATTTGCATGGATTCAGTAGGAGACTGGACAAACTCAGAAGGATTACCCTGTTGTGGGGTGTTACATGCACAGAAACTATGTCTGGCTCAGGAGGTCCCAGAGCTGAAAATGGGGGAGAATACAAGGGGGGAAGTATCATTTGTGATTACCATGGTCGTCTTCTTATTAAGTGTTTTGTGGGATCCTGGACTCAATGGATCATTGATGGTCATTCATCTGCCCTTAAGACTTGAATTGGAAACTCTCCAGGACTTGCCATTTAAGGTGACCATGCACCCTGGGTTGGCAAGGACAGCCTCAGCATAAAGACTTTTCTCCTGTGACATTCCAAACTTCTCTTGGGATGATCTCTTGTTTGAGGGTTTGGAAAGGGCATGTTGGAGCTGGATTTTCCTTGTCTCCATCTCTTCAGCTATGATCCTGGAAAGGCACCCCGTTCAACAGCAAGGCAGAGGAAGACAAGGGCTGTGACCCCAGGTTTAAACCCTCTGGGAAGTTATGTGATCCAGCATGTGATCTGTGTCAGCTATGGGATGGGGCAAATCCTCTGCATCTGAAATTTTTTTGAAAAACATTTGGTCCCATCCTGACAGCTGCCCTTTGGTGCTCCTCTACGAGCTTGCTCAGGGATGGGAGATTTGAATTGGGGCAGTATGTGACCAGATGCAGTATAACCAGGCAGCTGCCTTAGTGCCAGTGATCCCTTTAGAGCATACTCACTCTTTAGGCTGGAGATGTAGGTGAGCTCTTTGCTGTCTGCCATGGGAAGGCAGACCTTTGCTGTCTGAGAAGTTGTCACACAGGGGAAGGCTCTTCCCCAAGAGCAGAGAGCGTCTCCAGTCAGAGGATGCATTTGCTGGATAGCTCCTCAGGGTCGGGGCAGCAGCCTCCACTGAGCCTACGTGCAGTGGCCCCGGCCGCGAGCAGCCCGGTGCCAGGAATAGATTGCAGCTCTAACTCATGACAGTCATGTAAGTCAGGTAATGTCATGCCCAAATAGTGAATTCAGGAACTTTCTGAAGTCTTCTTCTTTTCTCAATCCAATGCTAATCCTTTAACTACATCCTCTATGATTACAAACTTATATATTCATATTGTCTTTAATTTGTATTTTAATACTATGAGTTTTTCAGAGAAGGATTACTGATAGCACATTGTAAATAAGTTACAGGAAAAGAAATTATGTATATAATGTGTGTCAAGGTTTGTTAAAACTGGAAAATACTTCTAACAAGCAGTTGGCATGCTAAAATCCTATAGTTAAGGTTTAGCTGACCTCCACTCAAAGGTTTTCCACTTTTAAGGATATAAGCAGACCTGCTATTAAGAGTGCTGGCAGCTGACTTGCATCACTGAGGAATGCTTTGCTACATTACTTTTTTTCAGAGTGTCCCTACGGTACCTATGGAATGGAATGCAGGAAAACCTGCAACTGTCCCTCTGGCATCTGTGACAGAGTAACCGGGAAGTGTTTGAAATTCCCATTTTTTCAACTGTCTGCTTCAAAGCCTCCAAATCGACGAAAAATAGTTTCACATACAGGTAAGACTTTGTGGGGCAGTTGATTTTAGCAGAAATCACCTTGTACGTGATCTACTACCACGCTGTGTATGCTGCACGTGAGTGATGTGTACTTTGGTGGAGCTGTGCAAACAGCTAACAACACAAGGTACGCTTATTTTTCTTATTGGCAGCTCCCTTAACATAAGGCAAGGAATTAGGTGAGCTGTGACACATGGTAAAAACATTTTGAAATCCCAACATGGGTGAAATACTTCTCAGCTGTTGCGTGTGCTAGCAGTACAACGTCACCTGTGCAATGGGAGGCTATGCTAGGATCTGCGTTAGTCAGTTCAGATGCAATGCGTTTAGCTGCTTTGCATAGAATAGGATTTCACTAGGTTGCATTTACTACTGTTAGCTAATATATGGTAAAAATAACATCTTTTTTCCATGGAAACAGAGCTTTATACATTTTCAGGTGTCAGTGAACTGTTTTATGAAATGTTTTATTGTAGTCATTTATCACGGTAATCTCTGGAATAAGTTCTTACCTTTAAGATTATGTCTGAAGCCTGTAACAGATCTTTCCAGAATTAAAAAAAAGGTGTGTGAGAAAATGGACTGTTTTTGAGGCAGGAAGGAGAGACCACTGAAGTTTTTAAAACTGGGATTAAAATTTCTTCCCCTTTCATTCTCCACCTGATGATACTGTGGTATATTTGATTGAACAATGTTTACTCTAAATTTAAACACCAATCAAAATCAATACAAATGTAAAGATTTTAAATAAATATCAGAGATTTAATCCTAGACTTACTGGAAGCTTTTCTAGGATTTCATCCAAAAGTCTTTGAATTTTATTTCTCCTCCAACTGCAGTTTGTGTGCCTTATTTTGATTTTCTCCTGTTATATTAAGCTATCTAGAGTTTGCTGCCTTAATACATGCATTATCTTTCCCCCACTCTCTGTTTAGAGAAAGTTAGACAGAAGCAAACTTCTTCAGCTTATGCTCATACCACATTTAAAATGATCTTTAAAAAAACCTTTGCGAGATGGATCAGTCCTGATCCTTTTGTATTTTTCTACATGATTGTGCTCTTTTGCCTTTCCGGGTTTTGTTTATTACCGAGGGTGCTGAAATAACATGAAAAAAATATTCCTGTCTTGCTTTTTTCTGTATCTAGCCTATATTCCAAATCTTCCCAGCTAGCCTGTTTTCATCAGCTCCTCCTCCCCTTTCCTCTCCCTCCCCTGCCTTTGGTCTCAAACCTTCTGCTGCCTCAACGTTTAGCAGCTTGTCTGATCCCAGCCAGGATAAGATCCTGACCCCATAGAAGCAAATGGTATTTTTTACCCGTGCAAAGGTTTCACGCTGATTTCTGTCCTCAGAGGTCCGTCACTGGAAGTAGACCAGGGACACTCTGGGTAGTACTGCATGGGATGGTCTCATGGCATTTCATTTAATAGTGGTCTTCAGGGGTAGCTATAGCATCTAGGACAGATCCTCAGCAAATTAAAACAGCTTTTGTATTTTAAACAGGCGAGTTTCTGGCCTGTATATTTTATAAAGACATTATGGCTACATGTACCCTAGTAAATTTAACGGTGCCAGAGCGTGTTCCTGTGTATTGCAATTTGACCACCTTCACAGTCAAACAGTAGGGCAGCAGCCGGCATGCTTTGTCCCAGCCTAGCTAGCCGAGCCAAACAACCTCAGCCACAGCTCAGGAATCAGTGTCAGCCAGGGACCATTTCCAGTAGACAAACTGGATATCTTTTACCTTTTTTTGGCGAGTAAGAGAGTTTAGTGGCATGCACCAGGCTATTATACTCCAGCTGGCCTCAGTCAGAGAATAGCTCTAGGCATGTTTAATTTACTGCTGTAGCTATTGAGGGTGTACTGCTTGGTCCCATGTCACACTGGAGTGTTACAGTGAGAACTGGAAACAGAATTCAGATCACCTGCCTTATGCTTAAACTATTAGAAAACACATCTGGCTTATGCCATAATTTGGCAGAAATTTTGCAACTAGATAATTGGAGGCATTCACAGAGATTCCTGCAAGATTTGTCAGTTAAGGTTTTTCTGAAGTGTTCCCAAAACCAGGGGCATTGCTGCAGGACAATATTTCAGCTCTCTTATTTTCATGAAATCCACCTGCATTTTTGTATATTTTCAGAGAACGACATGGCATCAGGGGATGGCAATTCTGTAAAAGAGGAATTCGTTAAGGAGAAAGCTATTCGCTCTCCGGTAATGAAGTGGCTAAATCCTCGCTGATATTTACTTACACTCATGAGACTTTCAAGTGAATGCATTTCTTACAGATTATTGAATATGCAACAACTCACTTTAAGAACAAAGTAGATCTATAGCATATGAAAATGTAACCTCTGAAGGCCAATTGTGATTCTGTTTTTAATGAGAAAAATGTTTACTTAAAAATAGACTGTACAGTGTATATGGTTTTTGAGATTTGTTTTGATATGTATTTGAACAGAGAAATGTATTGTGGATTCCTGAATGTATAATAATATTAAAAAAACAACGAGTTTTTACCCTCCTCATTTAAATAATGCCAGAGGCCAACTCTTGCAGCCTGAGGCTGGGAAAGCTCTCACTGAATTCAGTGGACAGTTTGGGCGAGTGAAACTATTGGTGTGGAGCCAACGTGAAAGAAACGCACATCAACACATCCCAGGATAGAAAGCAACACCCCCGAATCACAAGAATAATAATAACGTAGGAGCACAACAGCGTGAATTAAATAAACCAATGTTGGTCATTAGTCATTTTCTGGTTTTTGGAAGTTTGGTGACAATTTCTCAGAGATGAATATGCCTTTCTTCAGTGAGCAAACACTCAGCATTTCAGTTTATACATTGTGAATAACTTAGCAGACATATATTGTTTATGATTATATTATTGAATAACACTGCAGACATATATTGTTTTGAGGTGGATTTCTAAAGTTAAATTCTGTACAGAGAAACAGCAGCTTGGTAAATTATACAGATTTGTAGAGGGGGATCTGAAACAAAAGAAGCTGCTTAGCATTATTTAAATATATATATTTCTATAAAGCAGCTACTTCGGTGCCATTAAGGCGCCATCTGCATTTCTTGGGGAAGAGCAGGTCCAAAGCCAGAGGCCAGCAAATGGACCTTTGTACTTGCCATCTTCATCGCTGGCTGCAGCCCAGCTGCGACTCATGGGCGTTCATCTGACCAAATTTAGGGAAGACTTGGACCCTCAGTGAGTGGTCCTACACTACTTTGGTGCCCAGTCCTTCGTTTCTTACTTGCATGAGCAAGTGGTCCCATTTCAGCCAGGAGAATAACTTATATATGTTAGAGTGTTGTAGGAACTGGCAGTCCCTCATTCAGTCCAGACTGGACGATATATTTGTAACATAAAAATCCACACTGAGATGGGTTTTCTAATATGTCTGGAAACAACCAGATCCTCAGTTAATGGAAATTGATGTAGCTGTGTCAGAGTGAACCTGGATTGCATGAGTTCAGGAACTGCCTTGTAAGACAGAGCACTCTCATGGAAATGTGGTTTGAATTGAATATTTCCTTTGAAATCAACGTGAGCTTTGACAGTGACTTCAGTGAAAGAAGGAACACACAGTACCGCAGCCAGTTTGGTGCAGGATCTGAAAACATACTTTGAAAACTACGAACAACAGAAACTCCAAAGGCTTTAAAGAGTCTAAATCCTGATCCAAAGCCAATGTCAGTGGAAGCAGGCTGCTCTCACCTGGGAGAGCAGTGCTGAACCATGCTGCTCTAGAACAAAAGGACAATGGCAGCAGTAGACATCCAAACGCCAGTACGGCAGTGCAGGCTCTCTTGCCATGATTATCAGAGACACATAAACATAAATCTCAAACTAGCATATACCACATTTTAACCTGTATTGAATGTTTAGGTTTGAGAGGGAGCAATATTGGGCTATTTACAAGAAGTGTGTTGATTCTCATCCACTGATATAAAAAATAATTTTTTCTTGATGTCAGTGAGAGCAGGATCAAACCCACGGTCCTTCAGCAGACTGAAGAGAATTATTTAAAGAATGTAGTAAATATTTGCATACATTATTACTATTTTGCAACAGTGTCATAAATGACATTATGAGTTCTTGAATGTAAATCTGATAAGCTGGTTGGTTTAAAAAAGTATATGATTATTATTGTTCAATAAAAAAACAACTGAAAGCATCACTGTCTATTGTGTCTATCCATTAATGGCAGAGTAAGACTGCTGGTGATGGCATAGCCATGGTGCGTGCAGACTAGGCACAGTTTTGCTCCCAAATCCACAGAAACAGTTTCACAATGGCTGCATCTATTTCAGTGAATTTCCTGGGGACCATTCTCCATTGCTGAAGCTGAGTGGTGGCCCATGTCCAGAATGGTTTGTGTCCATACCGTTCAACCATCTTCACCTCCAAATCAAGGTGGCTGGATGCAGATTGCCTACTGGGAAACCCGCCCCCTGGCCAACCCCAGAGCAGGAAAGGTTTTGGAGTCCTCTTGCTGGCCAGGCCACCGCCATGCCAGGGACCATTTAGACCTGGGGCAGATACTGCAACTCCTTGGCACTGTTTGATTTACCATATAGGAGTAACCTGTGGAACCACATCTGGCAAGTCAGGAGGAAAGAGAAGAAGGAGAAGGATGCCTGCAAACTTTTTTGGAACGTTTTCTTCTGTTTTCCATCATATTTATAACATGCTTTTGCATTTCCTCAGCTGCTCTGGTGACAGATTGCTTCACACAGAATAAGTTACAGGATGAAATTATAATATAAGTAAATTTTATCCATTATCCTTTGAAACATCTACCTGTTGCTACTAGTGGCAATCAGACTACACTGATAGAAGAAATAACGCAAATGATCATAGAATCATAGAATCATTTAGATTGGAAAAGACCTCTAAGATCATCGAGTCCAACCGTAAACCTAGCACTGCCAAGTCCACCACTAAACCATGTCCCTAAGCACCACATCTACACGTCTTTTAAATACCTCCAGGGATGGGGACTCAACCACTTCCCTGGGCAGCCTGGTCCAATGCTTGACAACCCTTTCAGTGAAGAAATTTTTCCTAATACCCAATCTAAACCTCCCCTGGCACAACTTGAGGCCATTTCCTCTCGTCCTATCGCTTGTTACTTGGGAGAAGAGACCGACACCCACCTCGCTACAACCTCCTTTCAGGGAGTTGTAGAGAGCGATGAGGTCTCCCCTCAGCCTCCTTCTCTCCAGGCTAAACAACCCCAGTTCCCTCAGCCACTCCTCATACGACTTGTGCTTTAGACCCTTTTGTTCTTTTTAAAAGCACGTGTATTTTAAAGTGTCATAATATGTATTTTAAAGTTTCTCCATGATCTTACAACTTACAGAATCAAATCTTGCATTTCCCCAGCCACTGTTTCATGCATCTTAACATATCCCAAATAGTTCAAGCTGTTTTAAAATTTGGCTAAAAGGTCTAAACTCTGCATACTATAACGTATAAATTGTTTTTTCAGAAATGCCTCTTTGCTTTTCTTCATGATCTAGTAAGATACTATCACAACAGATGTCTCTGGAGTAGAGACAGTGCATGCTGGGCAGCGGTAGGAAGGTTTTCTCCTGAGGAAATGTCATCAGCATTCAGAGAAAATTTTCACCTGTTCAGAATGAAAGTTTAATTTCCCCCATTTGCTTAAATTTAGCATCATGCTGGTAGTTACTGAGAAGAAGCCAGTCCAAATAAGATCATTTGTTGTTTGTTGTAAATCATCATATGGAAGACCTCATCAAAATGGAAAAGAGGAGAAAGAAAATTTCTAAGAACAACAGAATTACAGTAATATAAGCAGATAAGACTAATGTTTCTGTTTGAAACTTCAGATGAAAAGTGAATCCTCAATTTCTCTTTGTTGGTATTTATCAAAAGACAATTATAAGTTTTCTCTATAAATATCTAAACTTAATAATACGATTTTGCATAACTACAGAATCCACACCCTTTCTCCTTTCCTGGCTGCCAATGCTGATGTCACACTAAGTTAGGATTCCCCCATCTCAAGCCTTTTTTTGGTTAAATTTCCTTTATTTTCCAACTTATACTACCCTTTCAATGATAGGAAATAATTTTCAATTAGTCATTTAGAAGCCAAGGTCATCTTGAGCAAATTCTTCCCTCAACCAAAGACAAAATGGAAGTGCAGAACAGCAAGAGTTGGCAGTAGACGGATAATAAGGGAATACTGAGTGGCACGTTCTGAAGTGTAATTACCTCTGAGAAGTATAAAACATGGGGAGAAAAAACTCAGTGTTATTATTTTGACAGTCAAACACATTGGTTATTGTGACTTTTAATAATTATTATTTAATAAGTTACAATTATTGAGATATTTAATGTTACAACTTATTATTTATCAATTTATTAGTGTTGAGTTGCAATCCATCTGCTAGATTACTGCAAAAGAGGCTATTGACATAGATAGCCTAGATTGTATAAATATAGCTGTTCTAGGAGGGAGAGCTCAAGACCCACAGAAGGGGATGCCCGCTCAGGCTGTGGCACACTGCTCAGCTCCGTGCCAGCTGTCCAGCATTCAGAGCATGTGTCTATCGCAAAGGCAAGGCCGGTTCCTAGCCTTTGATGGCAAGCATTCGTACTGCAGATCCACCATTATTCCAGCTTTTGTCTGAGGGCCTGCTGCTCCAGGAGGGCAGGCAGCAGTTCTCTGTCGACCTGCTTGGTGTCTGCTCAAACTGATTTTTGCCCTTCAGGACTGCCTGCCAAGGGACATGAAGTGGTGTTCATGGAACCAAGGGCTCTTCACCAGCCTCTTCTTTATTTTCCACCCTTTCATCTTTCTACCTTTTCTTTCACATCTCTCCTGGCTCCCCACTGCACACTCCAACTCATTTCCCCTCTTTTGCACATGTGGATTTTCTTTTAGACTTTTTTCCTTTCTTCACCCAACTCCGTGTTCCAGGCATTCTCTTTTCAGCTGACCTTTCCTTCCCACACAAGCCTGAAGTTAGGTACAGATGCTCTTCTCTCCTGGGGTAAAAGTCATGAGATAGTTCATCACACAATGTGCGCCTGTCATCTAGTTTCTAGATTTGTTTTTAGTGGGGTCATATGTTATTTCCAGTATCAATATGTTTGGCAAGTAGGCCTCATTTCTAGTAGGTAGACTTCATTTTCTCAACTACTAAACAGTAGGCTAGTAATATATGCACCACTTCTTATTTTATATTTAATGTGCA